GTACGTTGGCCATCTGTATGTCTTCTGGAAAAATGTCTACTTAGGTCTTCTGTTGTATGGCTGAACTTTAGCTAAATGCCTGGACAGCTTAATGAAAAGCTCCCTTCTGCATCATTTCTGTTCTAAATCAATTACTAATGGCCAAATCATAGTCACCTTTCCATTCTTCAAAGAGGAAGGGTTCCTAGAGCTGCAAAAGAACAAGAGTTGGGAATGTGGCACAAAATTGACAACACCCTGTAATACAGCATGACATATCAGAAAGAATAACATTCAGGACAAAAACTTACACTGGTTATTCAACTTCCTAACCTTCAGGCTACATGAACCTTGGAAAGGTTAATTAAAGTATTCATAGAGTTTAGAAGAGGCCCTCAAGAGACTATTATGTCAAACTGATAGAATGTATTTAAAAAGCCAGTTAGTTATATATATATTATACGGGTTAGTGTCAGCTGTTATCACTGCTATTATAGTATTTACGACTAGCACAAAAAGAACAGTAGCCAATGACTTAATTAAAAAAAAAATCAATATACTATGCAATAAATTACCCTAAAAAGAATCAAGTTATATTAAAAACCTAAATACTCTTTAAAAAAAAAGGGGGGGGCATCTCTGTAGAAGTACTAAAATGGGTTATCTTGGAGGCCACACTGGGAATACTGGCAGGTCTGAATCTGGGAAAATTGGCAGATCTGAATAAGTAAAAATATAAATTCTTAATGGCAAAAGCCACTAAAGCACAGCTTTTTAAAGAATGCCTGGGAGAAAACACAATATATAACAGAAACCCATAAAATGTACACATTTCCAACATCGAAAACTACATGGGCAAAAAATAAAATAGATAATAAACAGAACAAGGGGCTAACAGCCAATAAACTAATTTAAAAGACACTCCATATCACTAGCAATCAAGGTTCAGAAAACAGAGAAGACAACACCTTCCCTCTATCATGTTTATGAAAACTTACAGATGAGATTAATAATAATCCAGCCAGTCAATCTATAAGGAAACAAACACCTTAATGTATTAGCAAAATTATGAAGTGGTCATTCAAAAAGCATTTTTGGAGGACAAAATGGTATATTTTGGTATTATCAAAATTTTCAATATACATGCCTTTGATTCAGCAATTGAACCACCAAGATTTATACTAACAGAAAACGATTTACATAAGGACATTAACTCTTGCTTTTTTTGGGGGGGGGGGAAGCAAAAAACAACTTTCAATAATTTCAACAACTTCTAATTATGATACACCTATACTGAGGAGTAAGTATCATGGGGTGGTGAGAAAAAATGAGGTTAAATCTGTATATGCAGACTTGAAAATGTCTATGGTATCTTCATTAACTGACTACAAAAATCACAAATAAAATGTATTCCCAATTTTTGTAACTTAAAAAAGCACACATATTCTTTATAAATTCAAAGAAAAAAAACCTAAAGAGACATCTCTTAAATGAGATTTAAGCTGAGGTGGGCAGATAAGCACACCTACATACCTACACTAAGAGGAAAGGTTCACTTTTTACTTTATGTAACTCTGTATCATTTCACTTTTTATATTAAGCTTTGTTACTTTGAATTTGGGGGGGGAGCTTACATAAAGTTATTTGGCTCAAAATATAAAGTACTAACAACCATAATTCCTAAGCATTCATTCCATGGCATAAGAATAAATTCCTAACGCTGGCAAAAAAGCAAAACAAAAAAAGAAATCCACAGGTGGCAAGATTAATTTTAAACTTCTTCCCTATATAAATTTTCAAAAATTTCAAAAACACAAAAAAATTACAAAGTAACAGTAATATCTTAATTCCAGACCATGATTCTCATTAATTTTAAGGAACAAATTTCACCAAGACTGAACCATAAAACAGAAAGTGAAATAATACACTCTGTAATCATCAATTTCCAAATCATTCAATAAAGTTTTGTATACAATTGGGGAGGCAAGCCATAAAGATGGTCCAGGAACTGGAGAGGATCTTCCCAGATTGAGACTGAGGAAAGCACACTGTAACAACACCCTCAGCACTCCAAGTTTTTCCTTTAAACTGAGCCTTTATATTAACAATAACTGTCTGAACAACAATTTTTAAAATATGAAAAGCACTACTCACAGAAATGACCGCTACACATGTGGCACCCTGACACAATTAAGTTATAACATGCTTTGATTTAGCAGAAGCAGAAGGATGCTTGCTCTAATTACCTAGAGCAAGAAGTAAAATCTAGGCAAAATTTTAGAAAGTGAGTTCACGTTGTTAGGGGTTAAAGTCCTACAATTTGACTTTCTAGCCTAACATCTACAATTAACTCAAAAGAAAATTTACCATTAAAAAAATTATGAAGAATAAAAGTGCCAAGTAACTAAATGAGTTCATGTGCAAAGCACTCAGAACAGTGTATGGCACAAAGTACATACTATTAAGTGTTTTTAGTTAGCTGTTTCATCATTAAAGATTGACCCATGTTCCCAGTTCTCCAACCCCAGCCTACATAAATTAGGTACAAATGAGATTTGAAAATCTCGTTCAACACTATCAAGACAACTCCTTGTGAGAAATACATTTTAGCATATTTGAACTCCTTGGAGGTTATCAATTTCTTAAAAATCGAAAATCAAATTTTCTATCTCCAACAAACTCATTATGCTTCTATTTGACAATTATTTCCAAGTTTCTTTTTACATAACAGCAGGCATGTTAATCAAAAATAAATATAAAAGACAGACATTCAAGACCAACTAAGTGTGAAAAAAGCAAGATACAAAGAAGCAGTAAAATTTTTATTTTTTTAAAAGAGAAGAAAGGAAGAGCCTGGGAATATGTAAACCATGAAATGTGTTTTTTATCTCTGGGCAGTGATTTTGGTTTTTTCCTTTTAAATTTTTCTGAATATTTCTAGAATATTCCAAAAGGCAGTATGCTAATTATAATATTTCATATTGTTACATAGGAACTATATTAATGATCACTACAATAAAGGATAGCTACTAATACTGTACAAAGATACTGAGGAAAAAGCACAAGGCAAAACAGCAAAAAAAAAAAAAAAAAAAATAGCTACTAATACTGTACAAAGATACTGAGGAAAAAGCACAAGGCGAAAAAAAAAAAAAAAAAAAAAAAAAAAAAGGAAAATGACCAACGTCATATAATTGTCTCCACCAGAATCTGTGCAAAACTCAAATGCACTACTGTCTTTAGTTCTCAAATTATTTTCACTTTAGTCATTAAAAACAAAAAAACTTGACCAAGGCTACAAACCTAAAAATGGTAGCATTGAGACATTAATCCCAGTTCTGGCTCCAAAACTCAAGCATTGCTACATTACACAGCCATTACCAATAGAAAGAATGGAGAAAAGGAATTAGATTTATTCTCTAACAGCTAAACAGATTTTCCAACAAGAATATTTATTTGAAACAAAAAAATATGCACACAAGAAAATAAATTTATAAATACATACCTCTACTTCATCTCCTTCACTAATTTCTTTTTTTATATCAGGTGGTGGTGGTAATCTAACTTCATTAAATGGAACCTGGCGTTCCGGTTGCCAACTGAAGGATTAGAAAAGGAATTAACAGCTTTAAAATACATTATTCTAATAGCCCCTAATACAGAAGCTATGTAGTCTATGCTTAGTACTGTATATTTTTCAAATCAATCATTTAGCTGTCCCCAAAGAAAAACAACCTCTGTATTAAATCTTTTTCCAAGTAGTTTGTTGAGGTAGAACAGATATTGCATGGCTCTTGGTGAAGTTTATAGTTAACATCATTGACAATTATATATTGCTTCCAAATTACTCATCCTAAGGTAACAGTACATACATTATTCTGCAAATGAAACAGGGTAAGTTCAGAGTAATGAACTGTTATAGTGGGATCAACTTATTACAAACACTTTTACCACTCAATGATTTATTAAGGAACATAATTTCAGAGATTATAAAATATAAGCTGCATAATTTCTTAGTGTACATGTTCACAGAAATATAGAAAACTACTCAATTATTCTGAATAGCTAAATTATGAAAGGATTTAATTTTCTTATACAGATAGAATTTCTTTTCTACAATGAACACATACATTGTAATTAAAACCTAGAAAAAACTTACTTTTAATCTTTGTAGCAAATACGAATGTGTTAAAACTACTACTTGAGCTGTTGCTTAATTTTTTGTGGGTTGTATTTTATAACTAAGTTGATAAAGCTAAAATGCTTTCCTACTTTAAGTTCTAATAGGTCATTCACATGCCTGGGAGGTAGAGCAGCACGTAAAATACTCCTATGGCTCCCCTGTGCCAACGCTGGGCAAAAAAAGAGACAAGAGATTTGAGTGCTTTCTTTCATCTTTACTGTCTAAATGGCAGCTGCTCAAAGACAGAAATCATCTCAACACTTGTTTCTACAAGAAACAGCTGTTGGGCCGATATCCAGGCAGTTACAGAAGCAGCATAAAAGTGAAAGTTAACCAGTTTTCTTTTCTGACCTTCAATTATACAGTGCTCCTTTATAACCCTTCCTAACCAAACCCAGAACACAGTCTTTAACGTTTTTAGCACAACTTACCTAACCTTTACAATATCTATACAACTTTTTATTATTCCTTATGAATAATCAAGCAATTAAAGACAGCCTAATACTTATCTACAGCATCATTTCAAAATTCTGCGTTTTTAAGAAGCATATTATAATCCCATTCGTGCCGTCTATTTTTGCAAAAACTACTTACTGATTCACGTCCACATGTGATTTGACAAAGGGGTCATGGAAAAAGTGCCAAGTGAATTGTGAGCAGAAAACCAGGTGAAATCATCAAAAACTAAAATTACTTGAACTCAGAAAGATAATCAAACCAAAGACCCCCACCCAAAAGCACACTCATTTTCCACTGGAAATAGAAACAGCCAAAAGCAAACAGTTTGGCACTACCAATCTTCAAAATTAGGATCTCTATCAATAAAAAAATAACTTACTTGTTCTCAAAAACAACTGTGAGGGAGTCTTCATGAACATCTTTGATAAATCCCTATAAAGAAATTAAAAGGAAATATTCAATTAAATGTTACATTAACTCTAAACCACTATATTAGAGCTACAAAAACGACATGGAGTACTAATAATAAACCAGAGCTTAGAATAGGCTAATCTGGGTTTGATTTCCATCTCCATCATTCATGAGCTGTTTGACCCTGGCAGTTACTTAACCTCTCTCTTTCATGATTACAAATGACATTAAATGACACTGTACTACTGTCAATCAGAAGAGCAATGTTCTCAACCTTAGCCAAATGCTTACACACTCTGGTACTCAGCAAAAACTTTCTGAAACGTCTTTATCATACTACACTCCATAATGTACACTATAAACTAATTAAATACACACACTTGCAGTACTTGGTTAAAACATGGCAAAAATGAGTGTATCTGTTTACCTCATCTACCTCCCAAAATATTTAAACACTATGTGTCAGATATTATTTTAAGCAAATTAGCAAACCAAAGACTAAGAAACAAACTGACAGTGGAAAAACCAAAAAGCAAACTGATCAGCACTGCCATCCCAGAAAATCTTTGGAACTGAATACACAGTCTTATAGAGAAGGTAACCGATGAGGCTGAAAATAAAATCATTTTATTTTCAATCACCAATCACAGAACATATATGTCATGTATCTAGTCTCTCAGTACCCTCCTCCCACATTTGCTATTAAATTTTATGATTCTGTAATTTGGCCTTGATCTCTCTCCAGCTAGAAATGCCTGTGATCAACTTGTGTATTATGGGAAATTTCAATGCATATATCTTCATATGACGTCTAAAACTCAAGATACTTTCAAGAATGCTATAGTTGGGGCTTCCCTGGTGGCTCAGCGGTTAAGAATCCACCTGCCTGCCAATGCAGGGGACGTGGATTCGATCCCTGGTCTGGCAAGATCCCACATGCCAGAACAGCTAAGCCTGTGCACCACAACTACTGAGCCCGTGTGCCTAGAGTCTGTGCTCCACAACAAGAGAAGCCACTGCAATGAGAAGCCCGTGCACCGCAAGGAAGAGAAGCCCCCGCTCACCGCAACTAGAGGAAAGCCCGTGTGCAGCAACGAAGACCCAAAGCAGCCGAAAATAAACTTATAAAAGAAATATAGTGGCTGCCAGAAAATTTAAAAAACAGTTATAGTAGCTCTTGCCTTGCAATTCTGAAGACATTTTTTGTTCTTTCTCCTCCCAAAGCTAAAAACTAAGAGCTGCCATCTAGTTCAAGCTGTGATTATCTGATCATGCTACAACAATGACTTCCTGGCCAGTTTCTCTATTTCTACTAGTTCATCCGCACATATACTTTCAGCAATCATTTTGGTCAGCACTTTCATAATTATGTTACCAGCAAATCCATCTCTATTATACCCTTGCCATTTGTAAGGACTATTTTCATAAATTGAGAATTACCAAATTCATGAATATCAGAGTAAAACATCTTTCCATCAGATTAGTCATATTTACACTTTCACTAACATTTTCTAGTCCTTCACAATTTTCAGTTTGAAATGTTTCATTAATCTTTATCATTTCTGTATAATTTATACAGCGTAAGTGCAAATGAGAGCTCCAAATCACTGGGAAATTCTACACCTCGTTATAATAAAAAGGTTTTTTCCTATCTAAAAATCAGTGCTTATACTGCTCCCCACCCCCACTTTACATCCACCACAAACATCAGCATCAGCTTTGTCTGGGTGCACACACTGTTCACACACTTTAAGAAAAAATACAGCTCTGGAACCTACTCTTATTGCTAGTATCTTTCAGGCATCAGATTAAATAAGCTAAAAACTTGACACCCAAATAAAGTGTATTTGGACTGTAGTGAACAATCAGAAAACATGTTCTAATCCCCAAACCCTAGATTCTAGGTATAAGGGGTTTCTAATGGCCAGATCTCTATAAAATTGATGCATTTGATACAGGACACAGTCAACACTTTTCAATTCACCAGAATAATGGCAGGTCCCTATATACTCAAGAGATGGAAAATGGCAGGGTTATATCTTTGCCAAAATGTTTGAGTCAGGAGACACCAAATAACAATGGCAACATTTTCCTGCACATGGTGTGGGTGGAGGGCGGGAGGGGGGGCGGCTTTATGACTAAGTCTCCATAACTTCTGTCTTTCTTGTTAGTCCAACCTTTGGGGATTTGGTCTCTTTTCCTAATTCATACTCATCTGGTCCAGAACCCGTATTTCTTAGAATACGCTGACATTTCTTTTTCTTCTCCCCATACACCTACAAACATGGAAGCCCAAGCCATCATAAAATGGTCCCTTAATTTGTTCATTCACAAAGCCTGGTATATGTTTACACTTGAAACTCTTAACTATAATTTAAAATAATCATCAATAAGTAACAAGGCACTTTAACTTATTTAAAGTGTAATCAAAAAGCCCTGGAAGCACTAATTGAAGAATTTTTTTTTCAAAACCTATCTAGCCTAAAATAAAAATTTAAAAAGAAAACTCAAAGATTCAGTAAGGTGCCAAGTTAACCAAATTAGCTTTTCCAGGTAAAAATAAGCAGTGGAAAATAAAACAGACAAAAAAATATTCTACTAACAGCAAGGTCCTAGAAATGCCCTCAACAACAAAAAATGTACACGACCTATGTGCAGACATCTGTGAAACTTGACTAATGAATAGAAATAGACTATTTAGGGAAACGTAAAGCACTCTTGATATTTTAAATTTTTCAACATGCCCCTAAATGGGATCCTACTAAAACACAAAGGAATGTGTAATTCTGTTGAGGGAATAGGAGTTAACCTTAATAAAAGTACATCAAAGCCTATCTTAAAAACAAACAAGAAGGCATTCAGTAAGGCAACTTTTAAATGGGGGTAGAGAATAATGAGAAAACACTATCCGTACCAAAAACTGAAAGTTATTTTAAAGCTACAATAAGCAAGACCAAAAAGACAAGGTGCTTGGCAATTTTCAGGTGGGAGCTTCAATGGCCTGTGGAAAGAACAAGGTGCATTCCAGATATCTGCCTAACTTAAACACACATTTTTGAAGTTACAGAACACTACAGCTGAAAAGAACGTTTTTCAACTCGATGAGGGTAGTCATAGGAAGAAAAAATCCTACTGATAAACAATAATACACATGGTATGAATTAGTTTCAAGAATTGAAAGAATGAGATTATAAATACAGTCAAAAGTCAGAACAGATGGCTGTGGGAAAACCACTCTGAAGAGAAACACTATTTCTTCTACAGACCTTCCAGATCCCTCATTTTAGAGAAAGAGAAGCTGAAACTATATACATCTATTATAGCCCCGAAGTTTTACTCCCTAGGAGGTTGTAAATGCTGAATTTAAAACCTCATCTTCTGGGAGTTTCCTGGTAGTCCAGTGTTAAGAATCGGTCTTGCAATGCAGGGTAAGATGGTTCAATCCCTGGTCTGGGAACTAAAATCCCACATGCCTCAGGGCAACTAAGCCCACACCAGGCAACTACTGAGCACCACAACTAGAGAGAAGCCCAGGGACCACAACGAAGACCCGACACAGCCAAAAAATAAATGAATGTATGTTTTAAAAAAATAAATAAAATCTCATCTTCTGTCTGAAACTCTTTTCAATTAAATCATTATCAATTAAACGACAAAATGCTTTTGCTAATTCACAGTTTTAAACTCTAAAAGGTTACGTCTGGCAGCAACACTATTATGAAGAAATAAGGCACCATTCCTAAAAAGCCTATTTAAGGCAAAGTCCCAGAACAAAATATCAAAATCTAATTTACAACTGGAAAGGCAGCTACCTTGTTTAATATACTAACCAATTTATCAGAGGCTTTGCTTAAGTGATGGCTTAGCAATCTACAGAGATCCATGAATCCCTTTGAGGACATTCCCACTAAACTCATTAGGAACATATCATCCTAGACTAAAAAAATTCCTTTGAAAAGTATCATTTCAAATTCATCTGCTACTTCAGATTTTTCAAAAATCCACTAATGACCTCCCATTATTACAATTCATTACAACACTAAATTCACATATCTTACAAAGGGGGAAGTAGAAACTTAAAAAAACTTAATACTGGGACTTCCCTGGTGGCGCAGTGGTTAAGAATCCGCCTGCCAATGCAGGGGACGTGGGTTCGAGCCCTGGTCCGGGAAGATCCCACATGCCGCGGAGCAACTAAGCCCGTGAGCTACAACTACTGAGCCCGCACGCCGCAACTAATGAAGTCCATGTGCCTAGAGCCTGTGCTCTGCGACAAGAGAAGCCACCGCAATGAGAGGCCCGCACACCTCAACGAAGAGTAGCGCCTGCTCGCCGCAACTAGAGAAAGCCCGTGCACAGCAATGAAGACCGAACACAGCCAAAAATAAACAAATAAATTTATATAAAAAAATCTTAATACTCAGCAAACTACTACCAGAAGTCAGACAGCCTGAATCCTCAAAATGAGGTTTAAAGTGGAAGCCCATACCCAAAAACCCAACACTTACACCCTAAAGCTGTAACTCTTAAACCTCAAAAGTCTTGTTAGAAGAGTTTACTGATTGCCAACAGACTGAGCAAAAAAGGCCAGCAAGACACAGAACAAGCTTCCTAAATGGAGGCTATGTTTTCAATGACTCTTATCTCAAGTGGTAAAAGCAAGGATTCATCAGGAATCAAACCTCTAGTTCACATTTATTCTCCTAAGCAAGCAAAAAGTTCTCACAGTCACATTACTGCCTCCTTCAAACCTGATCAAGTATTCTTATATAATTTAAGATCTACTCCAGTTTTTCTCTTTAAAGTCTTTCTCAGGATCACTGGTATGACATTTAAAAATTTTATATTTATTTGGCACAACAGTCAAATAACTACATTTTAGATCCCTTTTCCAATGTATTAAGACATTACAGTTGATGGCTCAATTACTGAAGCAAATTTGTGATAAAATGCTGTATTTCTAAAAATAAACTGATTGACATAGAGAACAGACTTGTGGTTGCCAAGGGGGAGGGGAGGTG